ATAGGCCTGGCAGCGGAAACACTGGATCGGCCGACGGCCGCCGTAAAACCGCTCTATGCTGACCGGGATGTTCTTGATCTACTCGGTGTGGAATAACTTCATCTGATTGGTCAACTGGTGGACGATCACTAAGAATAGTGGGAGGAGCCTATAGGCTCCGCCCACCCTCTTCTTGAACTGCACGATCTTGTGCACCTCTATGTTCGATTTCCCCAATTCAAGGGAAATTACATTAGAATCAAAGTCCTTTGGAAGACCACGAATTAGCACTTTTAGGAGCTTGGGTTTCTCAGCATTATTTGCTGACCCTAAAAGGGGCCTGGAGGGAGCAGCATCAGTGGGAGCTTCCTCGGTGGTTTCCATCGGGGCAGGTGGTGGGAGCTTCGGCTTTGGAAGGGCATCGGAAGGCGTTAGGCAGGTTGTAGGCTTAGCTGGGGAGGAGACATGGCTTTCCTTGGCTGCTTTGGTCTTTTTCTTCCGTCTCTTTTTGGCTGGAGGCTCTTTGCAGGGATTTTTTGTGGGCGCTGGTTCGGACGCAGAAGCTTCCTCCTCAGGCTCAGAAATCTCAGTTGATTCAGGGAGGCTGGGCTTGGGATCGGGCACAGGCTCTGTCGATGTTTCTAAGTCCAAGAATGTTTCTGGAATTGGAGGTGGATCTTTCTTGGTCAATAATTCAAAGAAGAAGTTCGTGTCGTATCTGTTAAGACTTGTCGAGAGCTGTGCGGCCACATCAGTTGCAGTCGCAATTGCATCGTCAAGAGCTGCGGTTGCATCTCTCATCGATTCAGGTCTGCGGCTGGCAGGTGAAACCTTGCCGCCGCGTGCTATCCGTTGTAAAGGCATGATATCGGAGCTTGATTGAAAACACGTCTTACTCTCAGTTCAGACGGTGATCATCTTCTCGGCAGCTAGAAATTTCTCCTACAATATATTGTGGTATCATTTGACTTTAAAGCGCATGTGTCATATCCGTGGTATTGGCAATATCAGATTTCAAACACCCGCACGTTATATCAACCCTCCATGGTATACTTAGTTACTGATTTTGGTTTCATTTTGAGAATAGCGTGCTTCTGATTTTAAAAATATCCGAGATTGTCGACGTTGCTTTTGGATCTCTTGTGGAAAACTAATAATACAGAGGAAATAAAAATAATCAAGGTATGTATCTATTATTTTCAGTAAATATTTTATGCATAAATAAATATTTAATTATGCAATTTCGTTTCTATAGATGTTTTNTATTAGGGCCAGAAATCACTCCAGAGCCCGAACTGATGGAGGATGTGAAAACCACAGAATCCACCAGCGAGGAAAATCCTACTGATCCTGAAGCAATGGATGAGGCGAAAGCCTCTGAAACTGCAACAAAAATCGATCCTGTATCCAATAGACCGGAAAAAAGGAGGAAGAAGAAGAAGAGAAAGCCCTCTGACCCTACTCCTACACCCCTCCCGATTCCAGATGTACCGGAGCCCATGAAAGAAACCATCACTGATGTTATAAAAGCTCCAATCATAAGGAATAGAAAGTTTCTTATACGTGGCCTCCCAAAAGACTTTGATACTACTCTAATTTCTCGAGAAATCGAGAAACTTAGCATCGATATCATCAAAATAGTGCAGTTCAAGAAATGGTTGGGCGGGGCCTGTAGGCTCCTCCCCCTATTCCTGGTGATAACCAAAGATTCGACAAATCAGCATCGTGTATTCCACCTAGAATAGATCGAGAAGTTCCCCGTGATCGTCGAAAGGTTTCGCGGCCGCAGAGGGATGACCCAGTGCTTCAGATGCCAGGGCTTCGGCCATGCACAAAGCGCATGCTCGGCGCAGCCGAAATGCCTGAAGTGCGCCGAAAACCACTTCTCCTATGAATGCCTAAAGGAAAAGACAACACCTCCGAGATGCTGCAACTGCAGCAAAGCGCATACTGCAAATTTTTCTGGGTGCGAGGCCCGCCCCAGGAAAAAATTCCAAGAACACCGGAAAAACTCCACACCAGTCTCAACATCTATTCGACTAGTTACCATCATTAAGGAGTTGCAGGAGCTACTCAAAAATGAAGAGGCGATTTTGCTTCTAAACACCATCCTACAGGGAAAGAACCCTGTTCTCTGATGTTTTACTTCAACCATTAAACGACGAGATGAATGCCCACTACTTAATCTACCCCAAACAACTCTCGGAGCTTCGCTCCGAATTTACAAACTTTTTCACTCAGATGAATGAGCTAAAGCCTTTATTATTAGGCTGATACTCAGATTCCAAATATAAATAGGAAGTAGAGTTAACCTTGACTCAGAAGACTTCTCCCGTACTTCATTCTCTCCTCACTAAAGCCGTAAGTCTTAGTCGCCCAAGGGCACAAATTATGCGATGAAAAAGTCAGATGCCCGCTTTGCGGGCAGGCACTTTGAAGTTTGAACAACTATATATTAGGCCTGGGCAATATACCGTCATTTACCGATATTTCTTTGATACCGCGGTAATAATATTCGGAAGTATATTCTTCGGTAATACCGAGTTATTGAACATCGCTATGCCTGCACCTCTCGGTATTCACCGCTAGCCAATATCCTCGGCCGATCGGCGGCGTGTAAGTGGGAAGTGGCGGTATGGCACGTGATTGTTTAGGGGTTAAGAACTCAAAGGCGGTATGTCTTCTCGGCAGCAAGAAATTTCTCCTACAATATATTGTGGTATCATTTGACTTTAAAGCGCATGCGTCATATCCGCGCGTTATATCAACCCTCCACGGTATACTTAGTTACTGATTTTGGTTTCATTTTGAGAATAGCGGTGCGCGGTGATTTTAAAAATATCCGAGATTGTCGACGTTGCTTTTGGATCTCCTGTGGAAAACGAATAATACAGAGGAAATAAAAATAATCAAGGTATGTATCTATTATTTTCAATAAATATTTTATGCATAAATAAATATTTAATTATGCAATTTTGTTTCTATAGATGTTTTGAGAAATGTTTCAAAATTCAGCAATTTTCATTAAAAAATTGTTTTTTTTATTTGTTTTGTATTAAATTTAAATTATCTCATTTATTTATTTAATACTGAACAGAAAAAATACTTTCGAGTAGAAAAAATGGGGATTTCTGTATCGTGATCTGTGGCTGAATAATAAGTCTTGGCAACTTATAGGCAGCGGCCTGCGAGAAATCAAAACCTCTTCGCTTATTTTATTTTATCATTTATTATTATTTTTATTTATTTTTTAATTTGAAAAACTTAAAATCCATTTCGCCCCTTTTCGAATGTAGTGGCGCGACAGTTCACGATGCGGAAATATTGCCCCAAAATGCATTTCTGTTGATGCTTTGTGGAAATCATAAATTTTCACAATTTGAATTGAAAAAATTTTTTCAGATAGAAATGGTTAAGTAGTTAAATTTGAAATAGCATTTTCAGAAAAAATCGTTTATATTTTAGCAATTTAAATTTCTTACATTTTTACCGATATTTCGAAGAATTCTAGAAAATGCCACAATTATATTGAAAAATAATGCTTGAATTTTTACAATTTTAAAAAACTTGGCACTTGGAGTTTCTTTGAATTTTAGAAAATCAAATGCATATCTATCGATGTTTTGCGAGAATTTATAGAATTCCGCAGTTTTAATTTTAAAGAAAATATATTTAAATAATATTTTAGTATTTAAAATGGCAAAAAACTGCCGTGATTTTAGCGATTGAAATTCTTTTTATTTTTATCGATGTTTTGAAGAATTTTAGAAAATGCCGCAGTTTTATTTAAAATGGTATTAAAATTATAATATTTTTGTATTTTAATTTAAAATAGCCTACATTAAAAAATAATGCTTGAAATTTAGCAATGATTTGCGGGAATTTATAGCTTAAAAAATTTTACGTTTAAGAAAAAATGTCTTGCTGACAAAAGTTTAGAATTTAAATATGAAATAGCGTCTTTTGAAATGATTTGAAATCTTTTATTCATTTTTATCTATGTTACGAAGAATTCTAGAAAATGCCGTCATTTAATACAATATTTTAATACTTTTGTAATATATTTTAACTTTTTTTTTACAATGACTTAAAATTAAAAAATTACTTTAATTTTAGCAAATTTTTTTTAAAAAAAATTATTATTAAGGCTTTGTTGAATTTTAGAAAATAGTGGGAATTTATCGAATTCTTCAAATTCAATTGAAAATTAGTATTTTAAGTAGCACATTTGAATACAATTGTTTTGATTCTAGGGATTTGATTATTTTTTTTTAAATATTTTATCAAAATATTCTAGATTTTAATTTAAATTTTAACAAAACACTTGCATTAGAAAATGTTCGAATATTATTATTTTTTATTATTAGATATTTTTATATTTAAACTTACAAAAAAAAATTACTTTAATTTTAGCAAATTTAAGAAAAAAAATTATTACGACTTTTTTAAATTTTAGAAAATAGTGTGAATTTCCATTGATGTTCAGTGGAAATATATCGAATTTCTCAATTTAATTTAAAAATATATTTAGGTAATATTTTAGTATTTTAAATAGCATCTTTGAAAACAATTGTTTTGATTTTAAGGATTTGAAATTTTTTTCATTTTTTTTTGTTGATATTTTATTGAAAAATTCTAGTAAAGACTGCAATTTTATTTAAAGCAAAATTATATTATTTTTGTATTTAAATTTAAAAACAAAACTTGCATTAGAAAATGCTTCAATTTTTTGAATTTGAAAGATTGTTAGTTTCTATTGCGGTTTTGTGGAATTTTAAAAAATCAAAGAATAAATTTTCTTGAATTAAATTTCTTATAAAAAATATGTAATCTTATATTAAAATAGTAGGATGGAAGATTTTTTATACTAAACAAAAAATTTAAAAAAATAATAATAATAGCAAAGATTTTGTCACATTATGGATTATGTTAATTATTAAGTTGTAAAGTAAGACTGAAAACTTTTGTCAAAAAAAATTTATATTGATTTCATTATTATTCTTTTATAGAATATTTCGATTATGGATGCTCTTACTGATTGTCCTGGATATTGCAAGGTAGTATCAAAGCTCAACACTAAAAGCGCTGTCTGGATTTATTTCGGTTTACCAGCTGATGATAAAGGCCGGATTTTTACCAGCTGATTGTTGTATGTAAATTATGCTCAAAAACTGTTGGATCAAAAAGTGGGGGAACAAGTAACCTGACAAGTCATCTAAAGCATCATCATCCTTTAAAATTTAGGGAATTGAACACTTCAAGCAAACAATTGACAAGAAGTACTATACCTGCCATTGATGTTGATGATCCTTCAGCTCCAGTTGATGCTAAGCAGAACCCAAGTGAAAGTGTGAAAAAGTGGCAAAAAACTATGTTAGATTTTCAACCGCTGGACAGTAAATCGTCAAAAAATTGCACCGAGGCTGTGGCAAAATTTATTGCAACATCAATGCAGCCATTTGCCACAGTGGAAAATCCGAAGTTCATCGAAATGGTGAGGGTTTTGAACCCAAAATATAAACTGCCTGGAAGAAAACACTTTTCAACTGTAGCTATCCCGAAATTATATAATGATACGGTAGAAAAGATAAAGGCTAAAATATCTTCCATACAGAGTTGTGATATCGCAATCACTACTGACTGTTGGACATCGATAACCAATACTCCTTTTCTAGCAGTGACTGCTCATTTTATTTCTAATGAATGGCAACTTCTAAGTGCGTGTTTGAACTGCAAACATTTCATAGAGGACCATACATCAGAAAATTTAATTGAAATGTTAAGTAACACTTTAAAAGATTGGAATATTGATGTTAAAACATTGCCCTCAATAACATCTGATAATGGCACTAACATTGTTAAAGCTATAAGAGATCTGAAGGTAAACCAGATTTCATGCTTTGCCCACAATATAAACATTGGTGNCGAAAATGTTCACGATTCAATTCCATTTTTTGAAAGAGAAGAACTTTTCAATTTACTGTCAACAACACAAATGAAGCTATAATGGTAAATCGTCTGCTGAATTTATGTTTAAAAATATCAAACTTTCGATTAAAATCGTCTGTGGTCGCCTAGCAACACTTACTGTTGCCAAGGCCAGAAATATAAATAGCAACCCTCGTATTTTATCGAAAAATTCTAGTAAAAACTGCAATTTTGTTTAAAGCAAAATTATATTATTTTTGTATTTAAATTTAAAAATAAAACTTGCATTAGAAAATGCTTGAATTTTTGGAATTTGAAAGATTGTTAGTTTCTATAGCGGTTTTGAGAAATTTTAAAAAATCAAAGAATAAATTTTCTTGAATTAAATTTCTTATAAAAAATATGTAGTCATATTTTAAAATAGTACGATGGAAGATTTTTGATTGTATGTACTTTTTTTTTCATTTCTGTTTATTTTTGCCAAAATTATGTTTTATAAACTAACTAAAAAATTAAAAAAAATAATAATAATAGCAAAGATTTTGTCACATTATGGATTATGTTAGTTGTTGAGTTGTAAAGTAAGACTGAAAACTTTTGTCAAAAAAAAATTATATTGATTTCATTATTATTCTTTTATAGAATATTTCTGTTATGGATGCTCTTACTGATTGTCCATGATATTGCCAGGTAGTATCAAAGCCCAACACTAAAAGTACTGTCTGGATTTATTTCGGTTTACCAGCTGATGATAAAGGCCGGATTTTAAACCAAAATATTGTTGCATATAAATTATGCTCAAAAACTGCTGGATCAAAAAGTGGGGGGTACAAGTAACCTGACGAGCCATCTAAAGCATCATCATCCTTTAAAATTTAGGGAATTGAACACTTCAAGTAAACCCTTGACAAGAAGTACTATACCTGCTATTGATGTTGATGATCCTTCAGCTCCAGTTGATGCTGAGCCGAACCCAAATGAAAGTGTGAAAAGGCGGCAGAAAACTATGTTAGATTTTCAACCGCTGGACAGAAATCGTCTAAAAATTGCACCGAAGCTGTGGCAAAATTTATTGCAACATCAATGCAGCCATTTGCCACAGTGGAAAATCCAAAGTTCGTCGAAATGGTGAGGGTTTTGTACCCAAAATATAAGTTGCCTGGAAGAAAACACTTTTCAACTGTAGCTATCCCGAAAGTATATAATGATACGGTTGAAAAGATAAAGGCTGAAATATCTTCCATACAGAGTTGTGATATCGCAATCACTACTGACTGTTGGACATCCATAACCAATACTCCTTTTCTAGCAGTGACTGCTCATTATATTTCTAATGTATGGCAGCTTCAAAGTGCGTGTTTGAACTGCAAACATTTCATAGAGGACCATACATCAGAAAATTTAATTGAAATGTTAAGTAGTACTTTAAAAGATTGGAATATTGATGTTAAAACATTGCCCTCAATAGCATCTGATAATGGCACTAACATTGTTAAAGCCATCAGAGATTTGAAGGTAAACCAGATTTCATGTTTTGCCCACAATATAAACATTGGTGTCAACCAATCTTTACAGCATTCTTCCTTGAAGAGAGCAATTTCTCGCTTGAAAAAGCTACAAAACACGATTTCTCATTCATGGAAGATGAAAAGAGACTTGCAGAGAGCTCAAGAGCAATTGAGTATGACTGTTGAAAGCTTGCCGAGTGCATGTCCAACACGTTGGTGGAGCACAACAAAACTTTGCAGGCGATTTTTGTCCAACCAGCTTCCTCTCTGCAAAGTTTTGCTGGATTATCCCTCCAGAAAACAATGCTTGAGGGATCTGATATCAATGTTCTTCAAGATTTTGTAAGCGTCACGAATTTGCTTGAAGAAATGACGAAATCTTTAAGTGGAAGCAACTATATTACAACTTCCTGCGTTCTGCCGCTGTTGAGTAAAGCGAAAAAAAATCTTCAAGTTAATGACAGTGACTCTGAAGTTAGCAGGAGTATAAAACAAGAAATTCTGGGGGCTTTGGAAGCCATATACGAGGATTCATCAGTGGCATTGATTTTGGGTCTTTGTTCATTATGTGATCCGAGATTCAAAGTTAAATACCTAGAAAATGTTTCTGCAGTTAAAAGTAGAGCGATTGAACTTATGGCTGAATCATATACCATGCAAGATGACCCACAAATGAATGTTCCTTCTTCATACAGTACTCAAACAGAAAAAAAAGGACTTGCTAAGTTTTTTGACTCAGATGAAGAAGAGGACTTAAATGCTAGGGAATATACACCAATAGCAAAAGCTGAGAGGGAGATGAATGAGTACTTAAATGTTTCAAGATTAAGCATTTCGGAATGCCCATTAATGTGGTGGAAAAGACATTATGCCTCTTTTCCGAAATTGCAGTTAATTGCGAGGAGCTTCCTTGCAATACCAGGGACAAGTGTACCATCTGAAAGTGTGTTTAGTGTTGCAGGCAATGTCATTACTAAAGATCGTGCATCTTTATTGCCTGACAAAGCAGAGATGCAGATCTTTCTAAGTAAAAATTCCAATTATGTTCAATTGTGTTGCAAAATTTTGAGAAATAGTGTTGTGATGTTTATAATTGTGTTGATGTTTATATTGGTAATTGATGTTTATATTAATAAAATTTTTCTGTTTTAAAATTATGTTGCTTCATAATTAGTTGATTCTATGGGATATTTATCCTGCGAGCTAATATAGTATAAGTATCCCATTCTTTTTAATGATGCTCTTTAAACACATTAATTTTTATTTGCAAAAAAGTCTAGCATATAATATACATAACAACTTAATTACCGCGGTATATCATAATATCGTGATATGAAGCACACAATATACCACAATATCGAAATTCTGATATTGCCCAGCCCTACTATATATCTAGTCTAGTAAGTAGAGTTACGTGCACTAACTTTAACCCAATCAATATATGAACGCTACGTCCGTATCGTTAGACAATAACGTAAAGCCTATATAGCAATAAAAATAAAACAGTAATTCTCGTGTTGGTGTGGTGGCTTCTTAAAAAAGTGTGGGCGAAATTATCCTACTTTTACAAGTTTTACTATTTAATCTGCTACTTATCCATGAAATTTTTTTTCAGAAAGTATAGAAGTTGACCGCCTTGTTATTATAATAATAATAATTATTAATGCCAAGCCGATAGCAGAAAAATTTATTTTCTTAGATGGAGTTTGCAATTGATATGGGGATAAACTTATTAATTTACAGTTTTATGCTGTAGAGCAATATCCTTTTGAACAAAAATTACTTTGGTAAACTATAATAATTTTGTTAAAAGACTGTGTTTTGTTTGTAATTTAAAACTATTTATAGAAGTCCTAATGTTTTAATCTTACTAAACGTTTAATCTTGCGTTTATGAGTTGGCTGATTCTGCAGCACGATCTGCCAGCTCTTACTTAGAAATATCTGTATCATTCTCGGACATTAAACTACATATTCGGCAGCTTATCGTTTCCCTTTGGCAACAGCATTGGACCGTTTCCCGTAATCACCGTTTTACCTTCAGACTCGAAATAAACTTTATAATGTCAGACCAGATCTAGACCCCTTACCTGTATTGCATCTACGTAATGCAGATGTAAAGCTTACTCGTCTGAGAGTCGGTCACACTCAACTCACCCATCTTCATCTGTTGTTCGGAGAACCCATACCTGCCAACTTTTAATCCCTTCCATTATCATTTTTCCCAGTGGTATTAAAATGGAATTAAAACTTCAATTTTGAGCAAACAAATACGTTGTATATGAGTAAACTTAAGTTGACAACAATGATAGTAACGCATATTAATATATGTGTTTAATTTTTGTAAGAATAGTGGTGATCAAAATCATTTAAAAATTAAGTTTATAAAAGAAAAAATAGTATATATTTACTACCACTTTAAATATGAAAACAAAATCTTCCGGAAAATCTGGAAGAGTTGGCAGGTATGAGAACCTCCTCCCAAATGCGACACTTGTAACGTTTTACATACGCTTCCTCACATTTTAACTTTTTCTCCCTGTTTAGTGTTTTAACTATCGCCGTATTACCTTTTTTAATTGCACTATTTTTATGCATAAAGGATTTGCTAGGTGCAACCCGATTTCTGCGAGCTATTGGTATTTTATATTGTATAGAGCTGTTTTAAATGATTTGATTCACTCTTATTTATTATCCATACACCGTTTTACCTATTTCATATAACTACGCCTTTTATTGACTTTTAACACTAGGTTTACGGACGTTTCTTATATACCTATCTCTACGGACACACGTCAATTTGACGTATGAAAGAATTGTGATTCTTAATTTAATAAATTCAATTTAGTAGATTTTTATCCACCACTATTTCTAAATAATTCGTAGGCCTATATAATTCACCACTTGATACATCAAAATTTACTTTGTTGTTATTTACCATTTTTTAAATTATTTTCGCGTGTCCGGAGCAGTTGGCATCTCTGCACTTAGAAACCAATGTATATGTATACTATAAGAAAAAAAAATGAAGATATGAGATATATATTTATGAAATATTCTAGTATTTTATGTTTCAATACTCGAACTAAGCAACTGAAACGTTCAAAATCTGACACTCTGACATCAATTGACATTCTGCGTTTGTTCTTTCTATTATTGCTTATCGGCAACAGTTGTTTATCAATTGTTTTATTTGAGATAACGAATCGAAGTATTGTCTGTACATTCCTATTTATTATTGATGTGTTAATTGATTGTTTACTTAAACTTTTGTCTAAATTATGATTGCGTCAAATTGACGCATATTCGAAGAAATAGGTATACCACATAGAGAATTTCAATATTCCAACGCTTTTGAGGTAAATAGCACTTAATATATATTTACTTCGATCAATGATTAAAAGTCATTACAAGAGATAAAATAAAAATTCAAACGGGTTTTACAATTTTCCTTACAAAAGTCGAAATCCGTCAAAATGACGTGTCCCGTAAACCTGGTGTTAAATATATTCGTCCCGCTATTAACCATTTTATTACCGTCAAGTACTTTTATTAAAATAAAGTTTTTTTTTTTAATGGCAGGCACTTGGGGATTATCCCATTGGCCACAGAAATGCCACAACTGCTACTCTCTTCTCGTTACCCAGTGGGCACCTGTGGCGAAGCCACGGCTGTGGAGCAGCGGCGCCCACGTCACACAACCACAAACCCGTTTATAGGGCGGGTCACATTCACACACAAAGGGGAAAGGACATAACACACACAGAGAAAGAAGCATCCATTCCCTGATCAAGATTCGAAACCGCGACCATCGGTTCCGCAGTCAGGCACGCTAACCACTCGGCCACCTGGCCGTCATATAAAAATAAAGTTGTAGTATGCATTTTACTAATTAACAAAAACCTCAATCTGGAAAATATGGCTACCATAGTTTGGTCAGAAGAGAGGTCCAAACTTAGAGTCCCTTAATATTAATTTTACTTTTTGAGTATTTCTCTATATCTCGAGAGCTTTTCAAGCGAATCGAAAAATTTTAGCACACAATTATAAAAGTAGCCTATCCAAAAATAATTCCATGCAAAATATAACCTTCAGTAAATATTATTAATTACTTTTTTTAATAATGGTTTGAAATGTAAAGTTTACAAATTTATTACATTATATTAAAGAATACAATTTTAAACAAAGAAATATAAAATTTGAGCAAATCAAACGAATAGTTCCTAAGAAGAAAAAAAATTAAAAATGCGATTTTTTAAAAATTAAAAAAAAACTTTCGAATTAGATTAAAATAAATTATTATATATATTGATATAGAACGTCGGAAGAACGTTGGCCCACTTAATATGGTGCCCCTGAAAGAGTGCCCAACAAATCTGTCCTTATACGACTGAATTGTTTAATGTCAACTCAGGTGGGACACTGGTAAAAAAATATTTTGTTTCTTATATTTTGGGTATACATTCATCTTTCATTCAGTAATGTGCAGTTTAAACATGAATAATTATGTTGTTTTTATGTAACTAATAACTTTGTACATTAATACCGGTTATATATATATATATATATATATAT